GCCCTTGCCTGCCGCGCCGCCGCAGGGCCGCGGCATTGACGGCTGCTCGGCTCAGGCGTTGCTGCATGAGGGCGTGCGGGCCCTCGACGAGATGGGAGGGCGCGGTGCTCTCCGGCGTGCTGGGCCCGCGTCTGGCATCCGCGTCGACGCGCTGAAGCGGCTCGAGAGCTGCTTCGATGCCGTGCCCAGCTGCCCGTCGGACCTGACCGCCGAGGCGGCCGCCCTGGCCGTCATCGGCTCCGATCCTGGCTACGCCTTCGACGAGGTCGCCAGCGGGAAGTACGCCACCTAGCAGCGCGGGAAGGTCTCGCTCCCGCGCGTCGCTTCAGGGGTGGTCAACTTGGCAGACGTGCTGCCCCCTGATGCACGCTGTTTGCTAATGGGTGAGACTGGGGCCTTGCTTGAGAGAGGCTCGGCTACATCTTCTTCCGCGTCGGGTGTGCAATTGGCCTTGGCCAGGGGGCTCGCTCGCTGTCCAGCCCCCCGCGGGGAATTTTTGGCCGACTTGCTCGAGCGTGACATGCTCGAGGTTGGCGCGTCTTTCTCACAGGTGGCGCCCTTCTTCGTTTGCAAGAAGGACTTAACCCTCATACCCTCAGGCTGATCTTCGACGCCAGGGTCTCGAACGCGATGTTCTCTGACCCCGACTGCGTTCCCCTTGCAGCTGCTCAGGCCCTGGCCTCGGTGGAGGTGCCACCTGGTGAAAGGCTCTTCGTCGCGCAGGGCGACGTCGCTTGCTGCTTTTGCGGGTTCCTGCTGCCGCCGCATCTGCGCGACGCCTTCGGCTTGCCGCCAGTGCCTTGGGCAGCGCCGCCGCCGGCGGCCCGCCGCGCTTTGGGCCCCCCCCCCGCCCGATGGGCTTGTGCGGCTTCGGCTGCGCGTGGCCCCACAAGGATGGTCTTGGGCTGTCTACTTCGTGCAGCAGGCCATGCGGCACATCGTGGGCGCCCGCGTCCCAGCGGATCGCCTGCTCGCCCAGTGCGTGCCGCGCGCGCCCGCGCAGCCTGGCTCGGGCGTCTCGCTGACCCACATCGACAACTTCGCCGCGCTCGCCACCTCGCAGGAGGAGGCCGGCTGCCGCTCGGAGGAGATGCTGGCTGCCGTGGCGGCTGCTGGAGTAGACGCTGGCCTTGAGCCCCATGGCTCGCCGCTGCTGGGCTTTGAGAACTGGACGGCGAGGGCGCGCGGTGGCGCCCCTTGGCTCGTAGGTTTTGGCGCGCGGCCCTGGCCTTGCGCGGCGCACTTGCGCGCGCTGGGCTGGGGCAAGACTCGCCGTGCGGGGCGTCCGATCGCCCGTGTGGTGGGCCGCGCCTCGGCCATCGTGTTGCTGCGGCCCGAGATGCTGTCGGTCTTCTCGTCAGTCTACGTCTTCGCCGACCGCTTCTTCGCCCCGTCTGCCCGCGTCTGGGCTTCGGCGCGGAAGGAGCTGCGGGCTGCCTGGGCGCTGCTGCCGCTGGCCTTGGCCGATGTGAGCCTGCCATGGTCGCCGGCTGTGGAATCGGTAGACGCCTCGCTTCACGGCTTCGGCGTGGCCGAGAAGGACTGGGATGCGGCCGCCGTCGGCGTTGTCGGGAGGGCGTCAGAGCGCGGCCGCTGCCGAGGCGCCCTCCGCACCAACCGCCGCTCCCGCGATCTCGTGGAGGTCGCCGCCCGCCGCTGGCGCCGCCGCGACAAGATCTTGGCGCTGGAAGCGGAGGCAGCTGTCTGGCAGGTGAGGCGCTTGGCTCGTGCTCGTGCGAGCGTGCTGCAGCGCCGTCTCACTCTCTCCGATTCGATGGCATGGGTCCTCACTTCGTGCAAAGGGCGAAGTTCAGCTGGTACCTGTTGCGCAGGTGCCGCGAGTTTTGTGCTATGACGTTGTCGCTCGGGGCACGGGTGGCCTCTCGTTGGATTCCGTCAGAGTGGAAGTCGGCCGACGAGCCCAGCAGAAGGTACGATCCGTCCTCGTCGCATCACGGTCGGCACTTTCATCGGGACTTGCAAGCAGCAGGGTGTGTCTGCACCTGTCAGTCTGGGAGTCATGAGCGTATCTCAACATCTGCTACAATATCTCAGCATCAACAGCAGCCTGAGCATGAACTACAGCATGCAGCTATTCATCATTTGCAACCTGCACTTCATCATAATGCGCAACTGCAGCAGCCTGAGCTACAACAACATCGGCAGCCCGAACAGGATCTACAGCAGCAGGAGTCAAAGCAACAGCCTGGGCTATGTCGACACGCCTCCAGCAATGAGCAAGCGCTGCTAAGGCAAGCACTCGTCATCCAAGACAATCAACAGCCTGATCGTCAGTCATCTTCACCCGTTGTCACCCGGGCCCGAGAATGTCCTCAGGGGCCTCACGGACAGCCCTGTTTCCCGCGATCAGCCCCGCGCGGTCGCGATCGCCGAGGCGAGACTGCACGGCCCCGCAGCCTCGGACGGACTGCGGGAGCAGCTTGCCGCGGGACGGGCCATGGCGCGCCTCTTCGCAGCTCCCTTCGCCGCAGGCCTCCCT